TGGCTTTGCGCCATCACAGGTAAGCCAGCGAACGGGGAGCGCCTTGTGTTTTCAGCTTTCCACATGTCTGGCTTTGCGCCATCACAGGTAAGCCAAAGGGGAGCGCCTTGTGTTTTCAGCTTCCCACATGTCTGGCTTTGCGCCATCACAGGTAAGCCAGCGAACGGGGAGCGCCTTGTGTTTTCAGCTTCCCACATGTCTGGCTTTGCGCCATCACAGGTAAGCCAACGGAGAGCGCCAGTTCTTCCCCTCCCGGACCGCTGGCTTTAAACAAAATGCTTCCCCCTTAAATACGGGAAATATATTTAAATTAAGAAAAGTCATCTATTAATTAGGTTATATTTATTTACCTACGTTAATTTTCCTTTTCCCCCAACTTTTAATAAACATGCTATTTTTCTTCATTTTTACCAAATTATCCAGTTATTCAAAAATAAGTCTAAATTGCAGTTGTTTTATATTATGTATTATTTATACTATATTTTTATGAATTTTATATTTAAACTGGTAAAAAAATTATTCAGCCATTTTTTTTCAGTAGGTAATAACTACATATTGCTAAAAATTAACCATTGTCACTTTTGAAGAAGTTTTCTATTCTTGGCTTATCTTTAATTTTCTTTAATCAACTTTGAAGTTAACCAAGTAGAATTATGGCAGTTCTCTACAGTAAACACTAACTTAGTAATGGCTTATTGGACCCATTTTGTGACACATAGGTAGTTTCCTTCCTTGTAAACTGTGCTTTCATTTCCTTGTGTTTACCCTACTAGAGAGAGCTCCCTCTTAATTAGACAGGAGCTCTCCTTGACATGATATGTGCTTCTGTACTTACCTTTATGAAGTATCACATCACTATCACATGTTCCTCTGTGAGCTAGTCTGATTGCTGAAGTTCTGTGAAGTTATTACGAAATTTAAATACAACAGGAACTTCCATTCAGTGGGAAGGAATAATTCTTTGTAACAATTTTTAGCTTTTAGTATATGAAACATTTGCTTTAACTTTGAATCACAGAAATTTTTACTCTGGAAGAAGTTGCTTAAAAAACACAATATATTTACTATAATTTATAAGTTGATGCTTTTATGTCTTCTAAAAGTCTGTGTTAAGAGCAATGTTCCTAAGAGTTACTGTTTGCTGTCCTACTGTTGACAGGTAGGGTGAACATTGTTTAATGCTTCTAATCATTTTTAGTCATATATATATATATATATATATATTTAGAAATGAATAACCAAAGATTGTGCAGGAATTCTATCTCATAATATCTCAGGTGCTATATTATCAATTTAATGTTTAAAAGAAAAACGTTCAGCTGTCAACTTTATATATTGTGTAAGTCTGATAAACCTTCATCAGTATAAAACTGAATGCAAGCTTAGTATGGTAGCTCGCATTCACAATCCTAGTCCTTTGAGAGTGTGAGGCAGAAGGATTGCCATGAGTTTGAGATCAGTCTGTGGGATACATAGTGAGTTCTAGGCCAGTCGGTTATGGTGTGAGAGCCTGTCTCAGAAATAAACAAGCAATCAAAACAAAACCATAAAAGAAGCCTGTATATAAGTAATGCATTTATTTAATAAGGTATTATTTCTGAACAGTGATATTATTCTTTTTAATAATGTAGAAAGCTGTTCAGCAGCTCTGGGTGTAAGCTAATCACTTGTCTTAAGTGCCCATCACTGCTTTGCTGATTATTTACCACTTTATTGCTAATTATAAAATATAAAAACAGGTATAAGTAACTGAATAGGTATACATGATTAAGTCATTATTTGGGTATAGATTTTGTGTTTCAAAGCTTACTCATTTTGATCTAATTAGGAGCAGTGCTTTTTGAAGCTGTGTACTTTTAGGCATAAGGGAGTTGGCTAGTTAGTGAAGGATTTGTGGGAAGGTTGCTAAATGAAATATACAGATCTCTAGAGTGAAAATAATAGGCTCAGCTACAGTACACCAAACTAAATGTGGTTGGAAAAGCTCATTTGCTGACTGGAGTTTCTTCTAAGAGTAACTGCAACTGGAGAGAAAGGAGAAAGCAGAATTTACATTCTCCTTTTAAGTAAGCAATTTAAAATCACATTCCAATTAACTTCCCAACAGTTTTAGCCTTTGCTAAGAAACCTGTCTTACGGCATTTTCTGCACACTCTGGGCTTACAGAGCAGTGTGCATCTTTAATGGTACCTCTCTTATTCCTTGGTGGGCATCACCCTGCATAGCCCTGATTACTACACAGGACTGTGTCAGGAAGCAAGCAACCTTGACTAACCTTCCTGCACAGAGTACACGAATCTCCATGTGGTATTTATCATCATCGTCATCGTCATCATTATCATCATCATCATTGTCATCGTCATTATCATCATTTGTTCCTTTCTACTTTTGTTATGAAAACAAAACTCCAGAAAACTCTTTCATGTTTTATGACACAGTATTTTTTGGAAATGTAAAATTATGCAGTGAAACCAGATCTTCCAGATGTATAACAAAAATAATATCATATTTGTAGTCACTGTGCTTGAAGATGTGTTTGTAACTTTTGTCATGTGAAAAATGGAGAAATTCAAGAATGATGGAGTGAACACATTCACTGTTTTGAAATCTCTCAGAAATACTTCAGACAGGGTCTACCTATGTAATCCAGACTGGTCTTAAACTTGAAGCAATCCTCCTGCCTCAACCTCCCAAGTGCTGTGATTTTATCTTGATGTCACTGTACCTGGCTTTAAAACCACTTTGGTTCACAAGCTATTTTTCCTTTTTACTAATTTATTTTTGTATAGTGAAAATAAATAATGCAAGGCCAAAGAGTTGCTAAAAATAATGTCTTTGAATAAAATAGTCAGTTATTTAGAAATCACATTTATTTTCATTCCTTAGATATTTGCAATCGATTGTTTGACTTCAGTGTTTTGATTCCTTTATTTTTCTTGTAATCTAGATACCAGTTGAAATAATTTACTGCATAAAAATAAGATGTATTGCATGTTAATGCTGTTTGATATAAGCTTGTATGGTTGGATATCAAATTTTTCAGGAAAACTATAGTACAGTTTTCACATTGCATGAGTGATCTTAATTCTTTATTATCATGAATGATATTTAAATGTGTGAATACCTAAAAACGTTATTACAAACTTAAAATTTCATTTACCATATGGTCAGCAATATTTAAAAAGGTATTATGATCATAGGATGAGATTTAAAAAAATGTGCTCTTAATGACAGGAATTCAAAGGTCAGAAGTTGACATAATTAATAATATATAGAAAAACAAAAATTTGAGTAATGCAGTCTGGTGTAGATGAATTGTGCCCTCACAGTAATCACATGATGAAGTCCGAACCTCCTTTGCCTCCCAGTACACCTGTCCTACATGTAAGGTGCCTGAGAAGTGCCTAAGTTAAAAGTAGGTTATCAGAATGGAGCCTAGCTCAGGGTGACTTGTAAGGAGAGATTTGGACAAGACATCTACAGGGGGTGGCCATATGTGTGACAGGGAGAAGACTGTCACCCAGTTACACAGTAGGAAGAGAAGGCTCTGAAGAAAGCAGCCCCACTAACACTGTGGCCTAGAGTTTTCTAGAACAATAAGGAAGTTACGTGTTTCCACTGACTCATTTCTGCTTCTTTGTTATGGCAGACGAGGCAAACTAATACATGTTAGCCGTAGGAAAGCAGAATCAGCATGGTGAAAAGTGGAATAAGAGGTAGAAATGCACCTTTTAGATTTAAGAATAAAGGTTTTAAAGCCAAAGTGAGAGGACAAAAAGAACGAGTATGTCTGGGTCCTTAATACCTCTGTCAAGTTGAGATAAGCCGCCACATCTGTTCCTTTCTCCTCCCAAGCTCCTCTTAGCCCTGGCCATCTGATGAGCCCCAGGTCTGATATTCATTTGAACTTGACTACCTTCATGATGACCTACTCACAAGTAAGGTCAAATTCTGAGGTTGAGCCAGCCTTTGCTAATTTTTTTTTTTTTTTGAGGGGAGCTTGGGGTGGTTAATACATAACAATAACATACCGATTAAAGAGTCAAAAAAAGGAAGCCTTTTTGTGAAAGTCTCATTTTTGAATTATTCTCTATGTTAGCTTCCAGTTTTACATTCTTTGATTCTGCTTGTTTTCCATTGTTCTCTGATTCGGCAAGAGGCCATTTGCATTTAAGATTTTGCAATCTGTCATCTGCATAATTATCCACCTGTGATTACAGGTGGGATGGAAGAAAACGAACATCCCTGGACTTAGGTAGCCTCTTAGCATTTGTTAGCAGACGAGAGGAGACCAGTGTTTTGGGTAAGAGGAAGATAGTTATGTCAGAAGAAAGCATTTAAGCAGTAGGTGTATGACCAAAGCAAACATCATCGGGTCCTGAGCTCCTGAATCTGGAGACCACGAGTCTTCTTATACATGCAGCAAACAGCAAAATTTCTGGCCACTAGTCAAACAAACAGAATTTCAAGGCAATAGGATAAAATGCCTATTCGATTAAATGCAATGCTTTTTTGTTGTTGTTGTTGTTGTTTTGTTTTGTTTTCTTGTGTTACTGGTTACTACTTTTTAATAGGCAAGTGTGGCTTTTTACTCCTTTCAAATAAACTTCTTTATTTCTTTTTTTTCTTTAAGATTTGCCTACAATGGATAACTCAGTGTTTTTGGAATTACTTGGACTGGATAGAAATATGCCATTATATTGCTACTTGTGTTGTCCTTGGTCCTGATTACCAAGTGTATATCTGCATAGCTGTTCTCAAACATCTGCAGCGAGACATTCTCCAGCACACCCAGACTCAAGATCTACAAGTATTTCTCAAAGTAAGTATGTTCATGTCTAAGGGGGAAAGGTGTTAGAAATGAATCATTAACTTGGGGCACTTCATTGTTGCCTTAGGCATTTTTTCATTGCTATGGTTAAAAAACCATAACCAAGACAACTTATAAGACAAAACATTTAATTTGGGATTCACAGTTCCAGAGACTTAGAGTCCATGACCATCATGGCAGGGAGCATGGCAGCCAGCAAGCAGGCATGGTGCTGGGACAGTAGCTGAGAACTTACATCTTTATCCACAAGCAGGAAGCAGAGAGAACTAACTGGAAATGGACAGTGACACACCTCCATCAACAAGGCCACTCCCCCAATCCTTCCCAAGCAGTTCTGCCAACTAGGGACCAATCACTGAAACATATGAGCCTATGCAGATTCTTCTCACGCCAACCACCACAATTATCAAATGCTTATCTAAATCCTTATCACCAAATCAACTCTGAGTGGTAGATCTGATTGTTTTCATTTGTGAAGTGAGGAAAGAGAGGCATAGCATTAAGTTGCCTAAATTCTATACACTTAGAGATGAATCCAAAGATTTAAGTTAATCAGGTTATTGCTGTATCATATTTGATCAATAAATGCTTGGTGTATTTTGTTAGTTCTAAAGGTGGGCTGTATCATATTTGATCAATAAATGCTTGGTGTATTTTGTTAGTTCTAAAGGTGGATACTTATAAAAATGTTTCATAATATTTTTCTAAATTTTCCATTTTTATAAAATGTTTACATAAAATATTATTCTTTCATAGCAACTTGCAAGATTAGAATATTTGATAGTATCTTTAAACAAAATAATTTTGGTGACTTTCTAAATCACAGTGTAATATATTGGAAGCTTGGGAGATTAGCAGGCATAATATGTAAATACATTGCTATATGTAGTTCTTGTTGAACGTCTAAGAAATCCAACTGTTTGTTTAATACTGAAACCATAATTGAGTTTGGCATTTTCTGCTCTTCATCCCCCCATCCTTCTCACAGTCACAAAACACATTCATTCACCTAAATGTGAATGTATCCTTTACTAGGTGAAGGATTTGTTTGCTATTAGGTATTTGCCAGAATTAGTTTCCATTTAGTGATGTTTTTAAGATAATGCCATTAATCATTTAAGATTGCCAATCATTTCTGCTTCAAACATTTTGAATTAAAAACATCTTAAACTATAAACATCACTGGAATTATAATCTTAGGATCATTCTTAATGCAAATATTTGACAGAAGAATACATATAGAAGGAACACTAAGACAGAACCCCAAATAATGAATTGTCTGGAGTGATCCAGAGCATAGGCCATTGAAACACAGGGATTAGGCTGAAGACAGTGGGGCTCACATGCATTCAGGGATATTTCATCAACCATGGAATTTTAGGGTATAGTGTTTGTCTATACTCTTATATCTGAATTTTCCCTAACCACATAATTCTCTAAACTCCTTTGAGTGTAGTTTGTTATATAAATTTTATTACTGTCTGAGATGTTTCTGTTCATCCTCTTCCAATATACCTTTTAGCTTTAAAAGAACTGTGATATGGTCTGTCTAGTTTAGTGAAGGATTTTTTTTAATGCTTTCTCAATACATACTTGTTGAGAAAATACGTAGAAACATTTCTTAGGTGAACAAACTAGTTTTATTTCTACTGAGCAACCACCACTGTTAAATTTTTGAATTGTTCCCTTTGTGTCCTCTTCCCCTGGGCAGTTGCAGCAGGGTTTTAAAAATGGTGACCCTTCTCAAGGGGGACCAGACTCCACTGTGTGCTGGCCATACTGCTGTCAGCTGAACCGAAAGGGTTTTCAGTGGCGCTGCAGAGGTTATCCTCTAATTCCTATGGAAACTTCTAGAATTTGAGTTGAGTTGCTTAAATCTCAAATAAGACAGTGTTGGCAAGGAACTGACTTTAGCATGTGTCCTAGGGCTAGCCTTTTAAATTCTGTTATTTGCATTTTTCTGAGAGACGAGGAGAAGGTACTTTTCTTGCTGGTACTGTGATTTCATTTTTGTTGTTGCACTTCGGTATGTAGTTCTCAAAAGCCTCTTTTGATGGGCATTTTATTCTCGCAGGATAAATTTTGATGTAGTTTACTTAAATGCATGTATATGCGTATATACTATTTGACCTCCATTAAAAACTATAGAAGCATCTTGCTTGAAAATAAATGGCTATAAGTGCAAAAATTCTCACAGTTAGTTGCATATAGTCACATATCATAACATGTGACTCCAACTCATTGAAGGGAAGAAAACACTTACCGGTATTTCTCCATAAAACATAAGCTACAGCTATGATACTATCCCTTGCATTGACAATTCCATCATTTTATTCCTTGGTTTGCATATCTGCTGATACTATTTCTAAGGGAAAGAAGTTGAACTAAAACAACTTTCAGTTTTTATTTTGTGAATAAACTGTATGTTATCTATAAAAGATAATGAGCGGGCAGAGAAATGGCTCAGTGGATAAAGGCATCTGGAAAGCTAAATTTAATCCCAGGATACACAGATGACAGAAGGAGAGAACTGACTCCTGGTGCTTGTCCTCTGACCTCTACATAGGCACCGTTGGACACGTGCACCCAGAAACACACACAGAGGAATGCAATTTAAGGAACAAAAGGATGATGACTCATTGTGTGAAAATAAATAGAACAAGCATTTGACTGTTATAAATGTATGTTTCAGTTACCAAGGCACAAGTGAATTAGTGTTTTGCATACCAAGAACCTCAGATAGGTTTAATAACCCTTCAGTTATCACCAGCTACCCCAAGAACCTCTAGAAAGCTAGATGACTCTTGAATGTTGGAAATGTGTGCTTCTTTTCCCAACTTAAGTTTCACATATTGATTGAGAGTAAGAGCGTGTCATGGCAAACTCTTGCTTTGCAAAGGAAACTCTGTGTGAAATGTGTTCTATAGAGAAAATACCAGCCCATCCATATTCATTTTAGATTAGGGTCAAGATTTTTAAATCAGACCATTGAGAGTCTAGACTTCGTGCCTGCATTTCTACTAGCCCACTGGAGAGTTATTGGTGATTCCGAATCACTAAACTGAAAAGACAAGTGGGGAGCACCACTAATTGTCAGCCCTAGTTCACTGTGGGAGCACTGGGGTTGGATGGGGATGCAGTTGGATGGAGTTGCATGGGTACTTAATTTTCCTTTTCTCACTATACCGCTAAGCTGTCAGAGTCAGTAAATGTCATGGATGTGGATGATAGACACCAAATACTGTCTATGTTTTTGTTCATATATATACATATATATACATATATACATATATATATATGTGTGTGTGTATATACATACACACATATATATTTTATTTTATAATTAACTTAATTTCACATATCAGCT